CCCCAAAACCCCAAAACCCCAAAACCCCAAAACCCCTTAGTCAGAGATTTCAATGAAATTACAGAACAAAAATGAGGCCTCGCTTGGACTACAGGGCTTGAAATAGCTGGATTTTAGAAGGAGAAGGTGAAAATAGAGGATTAAGGGAGATTTTTAAGGACTTGAAGGGGAATAATGGCAGTTTTGGAAGAGAATTTGAACTTTATGTGAGAAAAATGGCGATAGATAGGAGGAAAGAGGGTAAAGAGGGGTTGGAGAGTGGATATATAAGGATTATTTGGGTAGAGTTTAGTGTCTTGTATGAATTTTATAGGCTTGCTGATTTATACAAATTTATACCTCCAAACTTCCTGATTACCACCGAAAAGCTCTTCAGAGAACTCTTATTGTTCAAATTTCTTAGTCTAAAAAATAGAACATTTGTATTGATAAAGTTATTATAGAATTTATACGGAAATTTAGATGAAATATAGGATTTCTGTCGGTATGTGTTACACCACTCCTAAACTCTCATATACTGGTGACTTGGGTCTTTGTCTTAATCCAGATCGAGAGAGGGAGGCTTGATTTGGTAACCAAGCGGAAAGTAATTACATGTTTGATAAGAGAAGGTCTTCTCGATAAGCTTTTCTGGTCAATCACCGATATCTGATAACGAGTCTGCCTTCCTTTGGCTGATAGAATACTCGTTGCATCTGGAAGTATTGACAAGGATAGTGCTTCTCACCAAGTCTTCAGAATCTGCATCAGTTGTGTTTGAATGGATCTCAGATTTCTGTAAGACTGTAACCTTAGAAATAGTTGTATCATGCTTTTCAAGTTTCAAAGAATCATCAATTTTGTTATCCTCACTCATTTTGCGGTGAATTTTAGGAGCAATGATTGGTGGGAGCTCTTCTTCTTCAGTAGCGATTCTAACCACCAAGTTCTTATTTTCAAATGAAGCCTCAACTTTAATATTTTGCTCAAAAGTCACTCTGACTTTTGGCTTACAATTAAGCGGTGGGATGGACCAAGAAAGAAGGAACTTCTGGGCTCCATCTTTAGTTTGGAAAAATTGATCCGCTCCGACTCCCATAGGGGCATCTCACATTCCAAGCTGGGGAGTGAAGCATAACTCAGCTGCTTGTTTAGGATTTAATATAGGACATCTGTCAGCTCTGATCATCTGATACCTGGTCTTTTGTCTGCTTTCGATCCAAATACTGGTCGAATTGTTAATAATTTTAATGGTGCTAATATTGCTGTTACTCATATTTATTATTAAACTCACTAAATTATTTCTTTAAATAGCCGTTCTAAATGAGTTATTTCAACCAATAAAATTCATTATGGGGTTTTGGGGTTTTGGGGTTTTGGGGTTTTGGGG